TTTTTTAACTTGTCTAGTTTTGTGTCTCTTCTGTGTTTTTTGTCATTATTCAAGTCAATCATGATTTTGAGACTTTTGAGAAACGACTGTGGGTAAAAACATGTATTAGATATTTAAAACATACTTTTAAAATATTTTTAGGATATTTAAAAATATTGATCTAAAATTTGAGTTTGTTATACTTTTAAGAAATTTTACCTTTTTAGTATTTTTCATGTTTCCCCTTTTTTAAGGTATTTTTTTTAACTTTTTAAAAACACATGATATTCATTTTATCTTCTGACATTTTATTAGCCTAATGTTTGTAGAAAATCCTGTTTTATTTGTATTTCTTATGTCATTTTTAACATTTTACTTTTTATGGAATTTTTTCCGAAACATTGATTTTTCTTTCATGTTTTTACATTCGTGCAGATTTTAGGGCAGTTTGTTTGTTTGGTTATCAGATTATTTTCAGTGGAAGTTTTTGTTATTTTTCCAGATATATTCACGTCTTTTGGATAGTTTATATATAAAAAAATTAGAATTCCTTATACAATCTCTTATACAATCTTTTTAAGGAATTTTTCTATTTTATTTTCTGGATTTTATTTGTGACGTACATTTCAGTATTTTTCAGCTTTCTTTACTATTCCTTCATTTGACTTTGTTCTTAATAATCTGATGATTTTACTGATGTTCCTTTTGGTATTTTTTCAGATGTTACTAAATGTATTTATTTTAATTAACAATCTGAATTTAAACTGTGACTGACAGGTCTTAATAACTTTGGTCAGCAGAAACCTGCAGTCAGCTCTGAGGGGAAATTTGGCACAAACACAAATTTAACAACCCTGACAGAGAGACAGCATCCAGCTATTCAATTAGTCTCACACACACACACACACACACACACACACACACGCGCACGCGCTCCAGGCTGCAGCTGACTTGCCATATAAACTGTCCAAACACGCCTGCTGCTGCTGCAGTGACTCACAGGCTGTTCAGTGTTGGTGAATACACAGGTGTGTGTGTGTGTGTGTGTGTGTTGGTTGTGAATGAGCGACCTCGCTGAATCATCTCCCTCCTCCACTCGCTCCAATTTGCTCTCAGAGAAAATCCCTCTGCTGCTTCTCGCCTCAGCTCAGGGCTTTTTCAACTTTTCATTCAAAATGTCGAAAATGTTCCCAGAGATAAAACGCGACCGACCAGAAGGGCAAAATTATTCCACGAGCAGCCCCGACTCCAAAAAAGATTTCATATAAAAGTCTGTTTTATCTCAGTGGCTCCAAATCCAGGAGCAGCTTCCCACAGGAAGTTTTACTGAGAGCAAATCCTGCAGGAGAAACTGGTCTGACAGGAGGGAACTAACATTCCCAATGCTGCTGGGAATTTTTCCAGTTTGAAAGAGAGACATGTGTTTTGTGGACTTGGAGAAGGCATTCGACCGTGTCCCTCGGGGTGTCCTGTGGGAGGTGTTGCGGGAATATGGGGTGTCTGGCCCATTGCTACGGGCCATTCGATCCCTATACAACCGTTGCAAGAGCTTGGTTCGCATTGCCGGCAATAAGTCGGACTCGTTCCCGGTGGGTGATGGGCTTCGCCAGGGCTGCCCTTTGTCTCCGGTTCTGTTCATAATTTTTATGGACAGGATTTCTAGGCGCAGCCAAGTGGCGGAGGGCTTTCGCTTTGGTGGCCTCAGAATCTCATCTCTGATTTTTGCGGATGATGTGGTTCTGTTGGCTTCATCGGGTGAAGGCCTCCAGCTCGCACTGGAGCGGTTCGCAGCCGAGTGTGAAGCAGCGGGAATGAGGATCAGCACCTCCAAATCTGAGGCCATGGTTCTCAGCCGGAAAAGGGTGGAGTGCCCACTCCGGGTCGGGGATGAGTTCCTGCCCCAAGTGGAGGAGTTCAAGTATCTCGGGGTCTTGTTCGCGAGTGATGGGAGAAGGGAGCCGGAGATCGACAGACGGATTGGGGCAGCAGCTGCAGTAATGCGGACGTTGCACCGGTCCGTCGTGGTGAAGAGGGAGCTGAGTGTAAAAGCGAAGCTCTCAATTTACCGGTCGATCTACGTCCCTACCCTCACCTATGGCCACGAGCTGTGGGTAGTGACCGAAAGAACGAGATCGCGGATACAAGCGGCAGAAATGAGCTTCCTCCGAAGGGTGGCTGGCCTCTCCCTTACAGATAGGGTGAGAAGTTCGGCCATCCGGGAGGGGCTCAGAGTAGAGCAGCTGCTGCTCCACATCGAAAGGAGCCAGTTGAGGTGGTTCGGGCATCTGACAAGGATGCCCCCTGGGCGCCTCCTGGGTGAGGTGTTCCAGGCATGTCCCACCGGGAGGAGGCCCCGGGGCAGACCCAGGACACGCTGGAGAGATTATATCTCTCGGCTGGCCTGGGAACGCCTTGGTATTCCCCCGGACAAGCTGGAGGAGGTGGCTGGGGAGAGGGAGGTCTGGGCCTCTTTGCTTAGGCTGCTGCCCCCGCGACCCGACCCCGGACAAAGCGGATGACGATGGATGGATGGATGGATGAAAGAGAGACTCAAAGAGTTTATTAGTATCTTTAAAAAATAACTCAGGAATCAAATCTGTGCTTTGTCAAATTGAAGTCTGAGCCAATCGAGTGCTGCTCTTCCTTCGTGTGTGTGCTTAGTGTAAAACGTCCACGCCTGTGCTGCGATCACGTCTACCTGCACAGCCAATGCATTCACACCGTCTCATGCCTCACAGGTCAGCACGCTGTGTTCGCCCCTTTAAGGCTCTGTGGACCCACTGACTGTGCCCTGTGATGTGTTCCTCCACAGCCATCACACTGTGAAAACCTCACATCCCCAACAAAGTGCCAAAATTGCCCTCAAAGCGATGCAAACTAGCTAAAAGGTCCTGATGGGGAAACAGACTCGTGTTACATAAGTGTCAGATAATCCCAGATTAAAGCTTTTAGGTGTTTGTGAGCTGGTTTCACTCTGAATTAATTAGTCCACACACATCCACGAGCTGCCTTGAGAGTGGTTCGCAGGATTTCTCTGAACACGATGCTTTTTTGTTTTCCACAGTTGTCTGTTGCTTCATGATGGTGTGCTAACGGCCACCAAGGGTTAAATAAATATCATAAATAAGCAGTGAGGTAAGGAGGTGTGGAAATAAAAACAGATATTTAAAGCTGTAAACTGAGGATGAAAAACTCAAATTCACACAACATTAAAGCAGCTGTGAAACGAGTGCACAACCACCACTGTGCAACAGCAACAAAAATATAAAACATTATTATGTTAACATTACTTCACCTGTCAGATGATGTTATTAAAAAACCTCCAACAGCCCAAACAGGACTCCAGTTACCTTAGCCGAAGGCTAGCAGACAGCTTGGAGCTACAGCTGCCTGCGCCATGCACCTATCAATCAAAGAGGCCACGCCCCTAATAAGAATTATCTACAAAGACCAATCAGTTTGTCTATGTGGCTGTAAACGTTTACCGTAGGAGTCTATGGGGACTGACGCACTGCTGCAGCCCCTGCTGGACGTTAGTGGAACTGCAGGGCGTGGCTCAGAAATAAACCCATCAGACCTGAGAACAGGAACAAGTCCCTCACCTGCCCGCGAGCTGTCCTGCCCTGATAAAAATCTAAATCTAAGTTACTCCTCATCACTGAGCTCCTCGTTCATTAGGAAACCCAGCAGCAGCAGAAAAAGCTGCTTCCTGTCTTGGTGTAAACCTGCTCGTGTTTAGATTTGAACTTCTGTCAAACTGAAGGACAAACCAAACTGTGTGGGAGCGATAAAAAAAAACCCACGAAGGTCCAAAAAACATCTCAAAAGAGACAAAAGCACCGAGATGAGTCACAGGACTGAGTGTAACGAATATCCTTTCTCTGCTTCTTTTTGTTTAATAACGTTGTTGTTTTTAAGAATTATAAGCTTCACCACATTTCCACCATGCAGACAAAGTTTATCTTGTGCTGCCACATGTTGCACCAGCAGCAGTCAGGCTACAGCCCGACACATTTAAATGGTCTGAGGTGTTTACTGGAACTTTCACAGGCGATTAAAGTCAGCATTACTGAAGCTTATGGTAGCTCAACATCTGCACAGGATTCATGTCCCTGCCAGAGTTACAGTGGAATTACACCCCGTGACCTGCAATGCTCCTCCCACAACGTAACCACGACAACTGTTATTGGCTGCAGGAACGAGAGACCGTTTTATTTTTGGATTTCTGTGTTTTCGTTCTGCTTTATTATTGCCGTTCTATTTAAAATATTAGAAAAGACGATTTTTTTTAAAAGGCTGCCCCCTTGTGGTGAATGTTGTCATTGAATTTACCGCAGGGTTTTACGAACAGTACCTTTAATGTCATTTATGATATTTTGTAGTGTCTCTTTGCTTCAGGGTTTAGCCTTACTGAATCAGACTCCACAGATAAAACAGAAAGTTTTATGTTTGCAGATCTTATCTTGGATTATCACTCTCACAATCACAAGGCTCATGTTTAAAAGGCCACTAATGAGATAATGTGCAACAGACTGAAGGAACAGGAAGCCAGGAGGACCATCAGATCTTCTACTGCTTTTTCCTTTATGAAAAGCTCACACAGCAGGGACAGCGACACTTTGGTTTAACTTGTTTTTTATGGCAAAATGACTCTTAAATCACACAAACTGTGAACACACACACGAAACACATATTTATAAATTCAGTGTGAATCACTGGCTCTCAAGGTGCCAGAAACATGCTTAGAGAAAGTAAAGAGAAAAAAGACGTTTCAGAACTCGCCTGAGAATCTGAAGGTTTTTAGGATTTGTGAGGATCTCAGCGAGTCAGTGAGCGACGTTGGAACATGTTCGGATTTATAATGAAAAATAACGTCCAACCGCTAATTCGGCACCATTTAATGTGACATAGCAGAACGATCCGGGTTGTTAGGGAGGCTCATGCTGTGACTCAGAGATATTGATTCTGAGACCTGGAAGTCTCGATCGATAACCCATCACGTGACCGTGCAGGGGGCTCACCTGATGATGTCGTCATTGTGTCCCAGGTAGAACCGCTGGCTGTGCTCTCTGGTGTTGTAAACCACTCCAACCCCGGCCACGAAGTACACCACCTCCTTCCCCGCCGTGTAGTACAGGTTATTCCGGCACTGGTGCCCCCGGTACCCGTAGACCCAGTCCAGTCTGAGCCGGCAGCCCGGGGCGCTCCGGTCCGACATATTCGCTCATCTGAGGGGCTCCGGTACCGCCCGCCCGCTCCCGCAGCTCCTCCCTCTGGATCCAGAGACCCGGTAACGGAACTGTGAGCGGGGTCACCTGCCTGAGCCGGGGTCACCGAGTTCGGCTGTCGTCTGAAGAAAAGTTCGCGCCCACAGCTTCAGGACTCGGACTTCCTTCGACTCTTCATCACGATGCACGCGCAGAAGCTGATTGGACGTCAGCTCCGAGATTTACCGTAAATGTGATGGTTCATATTCCTCCGTTCATGTGATGCCGTGACTGTAATCCTCGCGTAAAGTCTGAGTCCTCTGGTTTCAGCACCGTGAGACCTTCATCATCTCCGCGATTCCCCGGGAGCTGCTCCCGCCGAGCCTCCCCACTCAGAGCCGTTTCACTGCAGCTGGAATCACCACGCGAGAAACTTTTCCACGTTTATCACTCTCTCACTCCTTCCACCCACTCCTCAAAAACACGGAGGACGCGAACAGTCTGGAAACTTCTCCAAACCCACAAAACCAAAGTCAGCGGCTGGTGGAGGATTTAATCCCTCCGTGCTCTAATCCTCCATCCCGACCGGCCGCCTCCATCCTGCCCCCCGCGCGCTCACAGCACCTTCTCCCCGGGAGGATCGCGGCTCATTCACAAATCTGCGCGCGAGTAAAACCAGCAGTCAGGAAGTCAAACGACCCAGAGCCGCAAAATCAACGAAGAAGAAGCGACCGCGCAGCGGAGGAGAGGATGACAGCGAGTGTTTAATCCCGGCAGATGAGCCAACTCCAGCGGGCAGAGGCGGGGAGCAGCCCCGGGCTCACAGCGCAGCATCCCGGCCGGATGACGGAGAGGAAAGTCCTGACTCCCCACAGCGGGAGGAGGAGCAGAGCATCCTCCACCCGCAGGCAGACTCACGGGCGGAGCAGGCGGAGGCACAGCCGGAGCTTCTGCTTCGAGGAGCGTACTGTCGCGTGCAGCGGGGAGCCTCCTGAGCCAGGAGTCTGTGACGTTTGCTCGCTCCTTTTCCCGACGTGACGAGCACGCGCATCAGCGGACACGCGACACAGCACTGCGCCCAACTTCCGATGCTGAGCCTTCTAAAATAAAAGCACCATTAAAAGGTCCGCAGCTCAGCTGTCGGTTCCGCGGAATCAGGAAGTGACGGAGTACTTTTACTCAGCATGACGTCAGAGGGTTTCACACTGATCATTTTATTAAAGATGAAAGAATTTAGACAGGTGTTCGTTTGACTTTGGGACTTGAAGCGGAGTTTGGACCTGTATTGTCCAAAGTTTTCAGCATCAAAATACCTCAAGTTAAAAGCAGGCACAGTAAAAGTACTCAGTTACTTACATGATGTTATCGTATTTATGTGTATGACACTTTGATGTTGTTGGAAATGATTTTATTTTCTCTGATATTTTATCAGCCTCTTTATCATGGATCTGCTCGTGGATTTTGGATTTCCTTACAAACAGGCCACAGAAGGTCAGGGTGGGCAACCTTACATCATCTGCTATCACCATGAACACAGGAGCACCGCAGGGCTGCGTTCTCACTCCAGCTCTCTTCACTCTATTCACACACGACAGCAAACCCATCCACTCCTCTTCTAACACCGTCGTGAAGTTTGCTGATGACACTACAATAGTGGGAAGGATGTCAGACAGCAAGTCTCACTGCAGAGAGGACGTCCAACATCTAATCAGATGGTGTGGAAACAACGAGCTGGTTCTGAACACTGCCGAAACAAAGGAGATTGATGTAGAGACAGAAGAGCCAAGAAAACAACACGACCACCCCTCCACATAAATGGTGAGGAAGCTGAGGGTGAATGACATTAAATTCCTGGGCCTACACATAACAAAAGATCTCACATGGACTATTAACACATCCCACTTAGTGAAGAACGCACAGCAGAGAGCATCCTCTGTCACTGCATCACAGTGTGGTGCTTCAGCTGCACTGCAGAAAACCATCAAGCTCTGACCCGGACCGTCAAACTGCCCAGGGGATCATTGGAACCAAACTCTCGAATCTCGACACGGTCTATGCTAGCTGTTTACAGAAGCCAGCTAGCTGCATGATCAAGGATCCAACCCATCCAGGTCACAGACTTTTTGTACCCCTCCCATCAGGGAAGAGATACAGGCCAATCACAACCCGCACAAACAGACTAAAGAGCAGCTTTTCCCCCAAAGCTGCAGCCTGTGTCACTCGTCCCCAACACATCATAGCTAACTCTCCCTCTCTCCTTTACCCCACGTCATGTCTGCTGCTAATGTACAAAGTCATGTACTGGGCATTAATGTTTGCACTAAACTACCACACTGTAAATACTGTTGTATTTTTATTTACTGTGCTAAGTGCCTTCTTCTTACTTTATATTTTATACTTTTACTACCTTTACTTGGTTATTATGTTACTATGCTGCTTCTTGTTTTATTGCTGCTGGCCTCTGTAAGCTACCAAAAAATTTCGTTGAATAACTACAATGACAATAAAGTTCTTTAAATTTTAAGTTAAGTTTATCCGGTCTTTAAGTCTGACATCATGTGTGGCTGCTCTGCCAGGTGTAACAATTAAGTTTAACATCCAGGCATCCATGAAAACAGGATTTATGAAATTTAACGGAGAACGGCGTTAGCAGGGAGTTAGCTCGCTAGTTTCCGCCTAAACATAATATACCATATAAATATACGACCTGCTATCACTTCCAACATAAATGGAGACAGAAAACTAAACAGCAGTGACGTTTGTAGGGCTACTGAAGTTGGGCTAGCTGCTATATAATGACGTGCTACATGGTGGCTAGCTACACAGCTATGGTTAGCATAACATAAACAGTGAAGCTGGAGGATAAATGCAAATTTTCTTTCCATTCCGTATAAGTTAACGTGAGGGTTCCCGATGGTTAGGGAATAGATGGATTACCTTACACCTGAGATAATCCATCCACAATATAAGGTTAGTCATTAATCTACTGCTGCTGGGCTGTAGTTACATCATACGGTTTTAAAAACTGAGCTTTAAAATGAACAGTGGTAATAAAAACAGAGAGGCCGACAGTGAGCACTGACTGTTTTTAGGGGCTTGTTCAGATTAAATGGAACAAGACACAAAACATTAAAACATGTTAAAACGTTTTTCAAAATAAAAGCATGTTAAACCCTTCTGTTCGAAGAAAGCTGGATGACAGATTACATCTGTATAAGGTTACAAAAAACCCAACATAACAGGGGTCGTGTTCTAGGACAAAAATAAAGTGCAGTAGAACAAACATGAAACATAATTATGATAAGCTTTCTTCAAATACTCAAAAATGACAAAAACAGTACCAACATAATAATAGGTAATGTTCTATTAACCCAAAGCTGGTAGTTTTTATTGACGCTCTTGCCCTTTGGCACAAATTATGACTTTCTGGGTGCAGTCAGGGCGCCGGTTTGCTGCTCTCAGGTTCTCTTTCCTGCGCAGATGATGTGGTTTTCTTTGCTCACGTCTGAAGCAAGCTCAGAAAACCAGCCTGTCCTTCAGTGTTTGTTACCGTTTTTATGATAAATATTCTAATATGGTAACACTAATCAGTGGTCTAATACAATGTTTCCCAGCCTTTTGGAGCCACAGCACATATTTCAGAAAAATCACACGGCACACCACCAAACAAAAAATGTCACAAAAAGCATATTGATCATTTTTCCCTGTACACCAGTTATAGCAGACTTGGCTTGTTCCCAGTATACCTTTTTGCTCTCTTCTGACCACTACTCATACAATAGATATTTATCTATTGTAGCTGCATCGTCTCACAGCATGACTAGGATTCAATTTCTTCTTTGTCCTTTTCTGTTTTACTGGCAGTTGGCAACTCATTTAATTAGAGCAGGTAGTGGTACCACCCTCTAGTGGAAGAGAATGTAATTGTTCTGCCTGTTGTCGTTTAGAGTACTAATCAGGTGGAACCAGACAGTCTATGGCACAGCTGATGATGGGAAACACTGGTCTAATAACCAGTTTCATGGAAGCCTCTGGTTCTTTCTGACTCACTCAAAGTTTTATTGGTAAATCTCAAATCTTGGGTTTTATTTTGAAGGTGTGGCTCTTCCTGTGGTGATGTGTGGTGCGCTTGGCGCAGCTCGGGAGAGAAACACCCCTGCTCCACTGGAGAGGACGCACGGCCGTAAAGCACTCTGGGGCTTTGTGTTCTCTGAGATACACACGTCACAGGAAAAGAATTTAGAAAACTACAAGTCCCAACAGCAGCAGGGAGGGAGGCGCTGTCCGCGGTGCTGAGGTCGGACAGAAAAGTGACATGTGTCCCAAACAACAGGAGAAACATGAGCATGAGCAGAAATCGTTAATCTGCTAAAACAGTAAACATTTAAACCACAGACTGTATATGAAAGATGGACATCACACTTCTTTTTGAGACCATATTAGGATGACAGGCTGCAGTGCTCAGGTAAGGCTGGTAACTAGTCTGCAACCACAGACTGCTACCTGCTAACTAGAGCTCAGTAGCCCCCTGTAGCTTCTGCACGGTGGCTGCTGGGTAACCCCCTGCCAGTTTGGACTCTCCTCAGCTCTTTCTGGGTGGGTGGCGTGGCTGTCCCTCCAGTGGTCCTCCATGGACTCTCACACTCTGGGGAGCCTCTAGATCACACAGGTGCTCACAGACACACACTGTATCTTCTTTAGCTGCTGCCTTGAAGCATATTGTGTTGTCGGTCTGGCGTGCTGCTCAGTAACACTCAATATTTATTACTTACTGTTACCTGTACTTATCTAGGTTGTTGCTGTGGCCTCTCTCCAGCAGGTGATCCAGCTGATAGTTTTCCTTCCCTCTCCTTTTCTTGTCTGTGTATTTCTCTTTCTTATCCCCCAGTTATGTCTGTTCTGTTTGTAATGACTTAAAAGTTAAAAATAAATAAAATAAATAACAAAGATCAATCAGGTGGACCATGGCTAAGCTGTGATGATCCATTTGGAAAAATAAGTGCTTCCTGTCAAAATGGAGTTCTTCCTCTCCACTAATGCCAGGTGCTCCTGTGATTGTTGTGAAGCGGCTCCGAATCTGTGAGGCTGAATGTATTTTGGCCCTTCATGTGTTTTTTATGCTCATGTGGAGCTGCTTTCTCACTTGGTCCACAAACTGCAGCCCTGCTGTTCAACTGGCGCCATCTTGTGGTTAAAATAGAGATTTCTTAAAAAACAAACAAACCAACTTTCACATGATTATTGACGATAACCCCCAATAACAGCTATTGTGTCTCTTTTCTGTGATATTGATGACGTCTGATTATTTTAGTCCTGCCGTTCGTCTCAGACACATTTTCAAGCAGTTTGAACGACTCCGTCTCTACACACGGTTTATTTGCCCCCACATCTTCCCTCCTTTTCGTTCCCATTCTTCAGACTTTGACTCCAAGTTTTCCTCTTTTCCGTTCTAACCCGGAGCCTGATGCCATCCGTGTCTGTAACTGTAGGAATAAATAATACAATAATAAATGGAATAACTGTAGAAGTTAAACTTACGAGCATTGTCACGTTCTTTGATTCTAACCTAATTTCATTTTAAAAACTGCCTTTGAACACTTGTGCAGGAACCGAGCGATGTGCTGAAAGCGTGTTGATGTGATGCTGACGTTGGCCCGTACAGCGGCGCTGCTGTTCAGCTCGACTTCTAAAGTTCCTCACTGTAAACAAATCCTAAACTCAGAACCTCACACAGAAAACCTCCAGCTCACCATCATTAACGTGTCACGGTGGTGCAGTGGTTAGCACACAGTGCTGCCTCACAGTAGGAAGGTCCTGGGTTTGAATCTACACGTTCTCCTTGTACCTGCGTGGGTTCTCCCCGGGTTCCTCCCACCATTCAAACATGAGCATGAAGTTGACTCCTGAGTGTAAGCTGGCTGCAGGTGAGGGATTGCACACCTGTCCAGGTGCTTTGTGCAGTTTTTATACCCTCTATGGAAGTTTATTAAAGACAAAATAAAATTAAAATAACAGTGATTTGGATTTGTGTCATATCAATGTCAAAGCTGATAAAAACTGCTAAAGGACCTCCCACCACCACCACGTGCTGCCCACA